TAATTTAGAAGGTAAATGAGCAATATAAGATGGTGCTGGACTTGTAATAATAGAGGATCCATGCCCACTACTTGTACTTGAAGCATAATGAGTGTCCCCGACCATTGGATCAGGATCTAATGGTATCGCTGAAAAATGCAAATGATCCTCCAATTCGCTTGAATCATCAATAAATAAATCCGAGGTACTATGATACGGTTTCACTTTACCAAGACCTGTATGAATGTCATTTGGTGATAATTGAGTGGTTTTGGTAAGAATGGTAGTGTCCATACCCCCTTATATACAAAAAAAAAACTTTCTCTATTTTTTTTTTTTTTAAAAATATATATATATATAAATATATACTCTTGATAATTACAAACGGAAATATTTTATTCAATTATAAGGTTATTATATTGGATAAGGCAAATCAAAGGAATGTTAAGAATAATGTTTGTTATACAGATTAAGATTATAGTGTTTTTTTTTTTTTTCCTTCCAAGAAAAATAAATGGAAAGAAACAGTGTTCAGCTAAACACAAAATAGTCGAATAAATACACCGAGTTCAAGATTAGTCAGGTGATCTGAACCGGCTGTCCAAAACTTATTAACCTTTAACAGTATAGTGTTAGTTTGTATAAATGGAAGAGAAAAATGTTTTTTACTTTTTATTTTAAAATCTTAGATTACAGTCTTTTGTTGGGGGAAAACAAACAAAATAAGTTGTCGGCAATTTATACTTAAGTAGTATAGAAGCGATTGTAAGATTTAAAAAATGGGTAAGAAATTAAACGAAGTCAATCGATTTTACATGTATAAAAGTCAATCAAATAAATGCTAGTGACATAATTGCTTGAAACAATGACTACCAAGTTCAAATACGAAAAAAAAAAAAAACTTTGATTTTTTTTTATTCATTTCCCAATTACGGGTAAAAACAAATTACTTTTTTTGTGTATTCTATTCCAGTTCAATAAATGTGAGACAAATTAACTTTCCATTATAAAAGATCATAATTTTGCCCAATCAAACTTAATTCTGGTCGGCATCAATATTAGCATTTATACAATTAAGTTTAATTTAAATACATACAAATTTTTAAATATGCTTTTTAATTATCGAGAATTTGCAAAGAATATACATCAAAATATCTCCAAAAATTCTATCCGATGTTTCAGTTTTCTCCTAATTCTTTTATGATGGCTAAAAAAATATATGCATTTATATAAATATTAAATATATAAAAATAAATAAAATAAAACAACATAATATAGTACATACTTTCTGCTTTCTTTCTAACATCTTCGACATCACCAACCATATAAAAAGCTGCTTCAGGTAGGTCATCACATTTACCTTCCAAGATTTCTTTGAATGAACGAATGGTGTCTTTTAACTTTACAAGACGTCCTTCAAAACCAGTGAAAACTTGAGCAACTTCAAATGGTTGACTCTAATTACAATATGTAGAAACATTAATAATTTGCTGCTTCTTCATTT